CACTACTTACAAGAATGCTCATAAATAATTGGATTCAACAACTTCTTAAACTAATCCGACAAAAAAACAAAGATATAAGCATTTGGGATAAAAAAGATCAAACCTTATACGCTCAACTAAAACCTACCCTACTTCATATAACTATCAATGATTGTACACACACTGTAAACAGAAAAAAGGAATCATCTTTTCATTAAAAAATCCCTTAAAACACATATGCAACAACAATATATAACTAAAAAGGCACTCCAAATCCTAAAAACTGCAGTATAGGACCTATAAGTGCATGAATCAATATCCTCCACATAACAGAGGCGGATTGGAACATGAAAGAAAGAAAGTTTAGAAAACCCTAACAAATGTAAGGCTAACAAAGTCTACCACCAAACACTACACATGCAATCTAAGAAACCCTAGCACAAGGCCTCGAAAAAGATTTGGCTATCATTCAGACAAAAGCTCAAAAATAGATGAGGCTAACATCCCACTAAGCATCAACATGCGCACAGATTGGATTCCAACGAATCAGCTATGAATTCAAGACCTCCAACGCCGCAGCCTAGAAAGCAGAAACCTTGCAAAGCATCTTTTCAAGTGGCAGTCCTTGGTAGTTTACAATCTCTCAGGCATTCGGCCACTAGACTAACGCCTATAATTGACGACGACGCCGTCGACGCTTTCTCCGACTGGACTCGAGGTAAAAGCGACAATACTTCCAGGCCCTCATCGGTGACCAAGCAGCCCTCTGGAGTCTGACACGCAGTTGACGACGATGCCGCCGCCGCCGCCGCTGTCCTGTCTGCTGTGGCTTAGCATTTGATTCGTCATGCGAGGGAGTCCCTTCCTTTGGAGGCTCTGGACCCCGAGGTAGCAGCGACAACACTTCCAGGTCCTCGGTGTTGCGAAGCAAGGCGGCGACCGACGGGGCCGCATCGTCGGTGACCAGGCAGCCCTCGAGGGTCAGCTGCCTGAGGTGGCGCAGCTCAAGCAGGACGCATGAGAGCACGCTGCCCCCCTCCACCAGAATCCACCTCGGTTATATCGTAACGGTTCTTAGGCGAAGCCCTGTTCCGGTAGCAACATCATCATCGTCATCACGCCGTCGTGCTGACGAAACTCTCCCTCGAAGCTCTACTGGATCGTGAGTTCGCGGGACGTCACCGAGCCGAACTTGTGCAGATCGCGGAGGTGCCGTACCTTCGGTGCTAGATCGGACGATCGTGAAGACGTACGACTACATCAACCGCGTTGTCATAACGCTTCCGCTTACGGTCTACGAGGGTACGTAGATGATACTCTTCCCTCTCGTTGCTATGCATCACCATGATCTTGCGTGTGCGTAGGAATTTTTCTTGAAATTACTATGTTCCCCAACATTTATATCTCACAAGAACAATACACTCAATACATCAGAGAAAGATACTAACCATGATATTCTTGATTGTGTTAGTTGGAATCATGACATGGACGAAAGGCACACACTGCAGGAAATTGCCCCCGAGTAGACAACGGAGGAAGTAGCAGTTCTGATGGTTGCACACCAACTTGCGCAGCAATACAGCAGAAATAGCATACTCATAGTTGGCATCGGACAGGTTTTCAAAAGCTATAGAAAAAGAAAAAACACATCAGATAAACAGTCTTGCAACTTGAACAATTAAAATATCTAACATTCATGGAAGTTTCAAACAAACATTGAGATAGCTTACCAACACAAGGCAGAGGGAGGATTCTATCACCACCACGGTAGGTTTGGATCTTCACATCAAAAGTTAGATGGTCCAGCGTAAAAACAACACGATCTCCAGCACGTAGGCCGTAGTCATGGGTGAACTGAAACCAGGAACTACCAACGAACTTGTTGTAGTTTGCTCGGTGCTTGAAAGTGGCTGGGTAAGTCCTGCTTTCAAAAGTAAGAAGTTCAGGCTCCGTCTTCTTGAACTGCAGAATCCTAGCCTCCTCTCTCTGCTCCTCAATATACTCAGCTAAATCATTTCTCACATTGCAGGGGATGTACTGCAAACACAATTAATATATAACTCAAATAATAAACTCACAAGAATAAACAAGCTACTCTAATAAAATACTAAAAACATTAACTAGTAGCCACAAACATAAAATGCAGAAAGATAACATATCAACCAAGCACTTTACAATTATAGAGCATGATGGTTTGCAAGAGAAATCAATAACCTAACAACTAGTAGACACGAAACCTTTAGCACAAAGTCAAAAACATTTGGCATAACAGTTATTCGCACCAAGCCAATTATGCTACACAATACTTCAAGGTATAAGACATGAAAACATGCACATAGCCATACATGCATCAGTTGATCATAGCATACACATAAATTAATCAAAAAGAAAAGGAATGCCTCAGTAAACACATACACATAAACTGATATATGCATAAAATAAAATAATCCTATAAATGAAAAGATAAATACTACTCACCATCCTAATCAAGCAAATCTCATCAAACACAACATCAAATAATTCCTAATCTAGATGGGTAACTTAAAAGAAGATAAGATACATAAAAAGAACCTCGCTAATCTTGACTAAATCTGAACAAATTGATACCATATGAAACTAAACTTGCACGAACAAATTGATACCATATGAAACTAAACTTGCAAAAATTCCTCAAAATAGCAAACTTATACATTAATGCTTCAAATATATTTGCAACTTAATAGCACAATCAACCCAACTAGAATAAAAACACAATTTACTAACCATGTGCCTAACGCAGTCCTGATCAAGAACAACATCAAAGCTGGCCACATGATGGCCACCAAGTGCACCTGGCACGCACGGAGCACCCGGGCAACGACACACAGGGCAGACCATTCGTGCAACAAACAGAATGATTTTTTTGACAGATTAGGAACAAATACAATAAAATCATACTACCACTACTTACAAGAATGCTCATAAATAATTGGATTCAACAACTTCTTAAACTAATCAAACAAAAAAACAAAGATATAAGCATTTGGGATAAAAAAGATCAAACCTTATACGCTCAACTAAAACCTACCCTACTTCATATAACTATCAATGATTGTACACACACTGTAAACAGAAAAAAGGAATCATCTTTTCATTAAAAAATCCCTTAAAACACATATGCAACAACAATATATAACTAAAAAGGCACTCCAAATCCTAAAAACTGCAGTATAGGACCTATAAGTGCATGAATCAATATCCTCCACATAACAGAGGCGGATTGGAACATGAAAGAAAGAAAGTTCAGAAAACCCTAACAAATGTAAGGCTAACAAAGTCTACCACCAAACACTACACATGCAATCTAAGAAACCCTAGCACAAGGCCTCGAAAAAGATTTGGCTATCATTCAGACAAAAGCTCAAAAATAGATGAGGCTAACATCCCACTAAGCATCAACATGCGCACAGATTGGATTCCAACGAATCAGCTATGAATTCAAGACCTCCAACGCCGCAGCCTAGAAAGCAGAAACCTTGCAAAGCATCTTTTCAAGTGGCAGTCCTTGGTAGTTTACAATCTCTCAGGCATTGGGCCACTAGACTAACGCCTATAATTGACGACGACGCCGTCGACGCTTTCTCCGACTGGACCCGAGGTAAAAGCGACAATACTTCCAGGCCCTCATCGGTGACCAAGCAGCCCTCTGGAGTCTGACACGCAGTTGACGACGATGCCGCCGCCGCCGCCGCCGTCCTGTCTGCTGTGGCTTAGCATTTGATTCGTCATGCGAGGGAGTCCCTTCCTTTGGAGGCTCTGGACCCCGAGGTAGCAGCGACAACACTTCCAGGTCCTCGGTGTTGCGAAGCAAGGCGGCGACCGACGGGGCCGCATCGTCGGTGACCAGGCAGCCCTCGAGGGTCAGCTGCCTGAGGTGGCGCAGCTCAAGCAGGACGCATGAGAGCACGCTGCTGTAGTAGGCCACTGAAAGGCGCAGGCAGAGGTCAAGACGCGCCAGCTTTTCGCACCGGCCGATGAGGGCCATGACCGGAGCAACTTCCGGTGATTCTTCGCCGCAGTGGCCATGGCAGATTTCAATCCTCACCGCCGCGACGGCCAGGTAGTTTGCGACGACGATGAACGACGACTCGCGAGGAGGAAGGCTGCCTTTGTAGTGCAGCGACCGGAGATAGGTGGTGCGCAGCTCGACGGCGGTGGCATTGTGGCAGCAGATCATGGCGAAGCTACGCAGCCACGGGCTGGTCACCGCGATCTCCTTGACACTCGGGCACTCCTCCAGCGTCAGGTCGGCGAGGCGCGGGCAGCTCGAGAGCAGCAGCTGCAGCAGCCCATCCCGGGCCGTGACCCTGTCGAGGTGGAGCGTCTCCAGCGAGACCATGTCCACGCTGCCCGGCAGGTCGAGCGCCCAGCACGACAGGCGCAGGCGGCGGAGCGTGCGGCAGCGGAAGGTTTGGCGCGGCGTCACGGTGTACATCAAGGAATCGTCTCGGTCCGGTGATCCGCGGAACGGGCAGAGCGGGTCCAGGGCGGCCTCATCGTACCTGAGATCGATGTCGAGGTCCTCGACGCCGGAGGCGACGGCGGTGGCGATCCACTGGTCGAGCAGGTCGTACGGAACGTGGAGGACGCGGATCGGCGTCTCCACCCCCTTGCCGAGGATCGCGCACGCCACCTGGTGGTCGAAGCAGACCTTGAGGTCGCCCCGCCCGCCTGTCTTGGTGTCGACGAGGTCGACGGCGGGGACGCCCTCGTGGACGTAGCGCCACCGGCTGGAGAGCGCGCTGGTGCGCACGGCCTCGTCGGTCACGAGGTGGGAGAGGACGCGCACGAGCGCATCGTCGGGGAGAGCGCTCAGCCGGTCTCCTCCCGATGCCATCTTCGACGCCCAGATCAGATCATCGGATGCCATCTCGATGCCTGCCTATTTACGATTCTTAAGTCGGTTCCAACGGAACCCGCAGATCGACGGCTCAATTGTCAGATCGGATCCAAACCAGAACAGCCGGGCGATCGATCGAGCCATGGCATCGCCGTCGCCGGCGGCGCGCGCGCCGAGGGATCGCCTGAGCGACCTCCCGGACTTCTTGCTCGGGAACATCCTCTCCTACCTCCCCACCAAGGAGGCCGGCTGCGCGGCGGGGCTGTCCCGCCGGTGGCGCAACATCTTCTGCAACGTGCACGCCATCTCGTTCGAGGAGCGCGAGGGCGAGAGGGCCAAGGACTGGGACACCTTCTACTTCGAGGCCGAGGAGAGGAAGAGCTGGAGCGGCGTGATCCTCGACGACGTCTGCTCCGCGCTCCTCTGCCGCCGCCGCACCGCCGGCATCCACGTGCCGCTGCGCAGCTTCCGCTTCGCCTTCGACAACTGCCACCACTGGAACGCCGTGCACGTCGACCAGTGGCTCACCTACGTGCTGCGGACCAACCGCCATCACGAGCTCCACCTCGACCTCTGCTTCTGGCTCGGCCGGATCTGCCAGCGCCGCGGCGCGACGGCGGGAGAAGCGTCCGGCGGCTCATCTCGAGCTGCCCCCGCCTCGTCGACCTGACGCTGCAGTCCATCGACCGCCTCACCACCGTCTCCGTCCTCGACAAGCGCCTCCGCCGGCTCGCCATCCGCTGCTGCCACAACCTGAGGACCGTCCACATCGACGCGTCAGAGCTGAGGTCGCTGGACTACTCCGGCGCGGCGCCCGCAGAGTCGCTCCTCTCCCTGCACGGCGCAGCAGGAATACCATCCTGCACCGTCAACTTCTGCCAAGCACCGGCCTCCGAATCAGAGCGCGACAGGTTCATAATCTTCATGGAGAAGATCTCTGCCGCGAGGCACCTGCACCTTCACCACCAACACTTGCCCTACAGCTGCTTCGAGGGCTTCCCCTCCTTCTCCAGCCTGACGCGGCTGGCGCTGCAAGGTGCCCTTCTGATCCCCGGCGTGATGCGCCGGATCCTGGAGCAGGCGCCCAACCTGGAGATCCTCACGCTGCTCATGGAGTTCGCCGCGGTTCCCGAAGGGCTCGCGGCCCCCGACGAGTCGAGCTTCTCGGTGCCGTGCTTGCGGAGCCGGGTGAAGGAGATCAACATGGTCCACTACCAGGGTGATGCGCTGCAGAGGATGATGGCCAGGCTCTTGTTCCGGAACGCGCTGGTTCTTGAGAGGATGTGCGTCGTGTTCGTCAAGGGGCCGTTCGCGTTGCAGTATCGGCTCAAGAAGGAGATCGAAGGCTGGATGGTGGCCGGCCACGTCGAGAAGGTTTTCCTTTGATCGATCGGTTTAGGTTAGCTTCCATGGAATAATTGCGCTCTAGTCCCATGCCCACGTTGGAACGTACGGCGCACTCGCTGACGTGTGGATCCGGACTCACGCGTCAGTGGCCCAACGTCAGGTGGCCGTACGTCAGGGGATCCGGCTCCGCCCACGTTATGTGTTGCCGAGAAATAGCTTGTGTTTAATAAAAACAGGTTCGGTTGTGACGTGAGTTTTATCCTTTTTTTTTGAATATCTTCAAAGTTCTCATTTGGATATTAACGTGAGTTTTATCCGATACAGTATACACTAGCAAATATGCCCGTACGTGACTCAATAGCCCAATACATGAGCGTCCTCTATTTTAACACGATGGCTCATCATGTTGCCACTTATCTTTCTTCCGACCTTGTGATGATGGACGTGATGTCCACATGATTGCAATGCATTTTCGACATGATAAATCCCAAGGCAATGAACTTGCCACTGCATTACACACTTATCATTGTATAGCACAAGAGAATGTTTAAACCTGAAATCTAAAAAGTGCTTACGCGCTTTTTAGTCAAACCGAGCGGCCGGCTCCGGGCCGCTCGATCTCGCTCGCGTGTGGGGCAGGTGCCACCTGGTCGGAGGCTCGCCGCTGCGCTACCCCTGCTCCTTGCCTCCCTCCTCATGTTGATGCTGGCATTAAATGTGTTCACACTAGTCCCATCAAATAGAGAAAATAGATCCACATACTTTTATTTTGGAGTTTCAAATTCTTTTAAAGCCGTATCTTTTAAACCACACGTTGGAATTGAGTTTCCTTTTCACCGTTGGATTCATCGCGACGAGATCTTTAAAAGTAGATCCCGCATGGATATGTTTTGACGAAATTTTTTTGATGCCAACTTTGGTGCTATATGGTGCAACTAAAGTATTACATTGTGCAACTTTAGTACTACATGGTGCAACTTTTTTTAAAATCAGTTGGCTTGTCTAGTTGTACACACATTGATGTTTTAGTTGGCTTATAATGTAGTCTAATTGCACGCACATTGATGTTTAGCTGCCAGAAGGACTAGTTGCACACACACATGCTCAGTTGGCTTGTAATTTAGTCTAGTTGCACACATATTGATGTTTAGTTGGCAGGACATTAATTGCACACACATATGCGCAATTGACGCGGCAATGTAGTATAGTTGCACACACATTAATATTTAGTTGGCAGGACTATTGGCACACACATATGCTCAGTTGGCGTGGGAATGTAATCTACTTGCACACACATTGATGTTTAGTTGACAGGACTATTGGCACACACATATGCTCAGTTGGCGCGGGAATGTAGTCTAGTTGCACACACATTGATGTTTAGTTGACAAAAAGAATATTGGCACACACATATGCTCAGTTGGCGCGGCATGTAGTCTAGTTGCACACATATTGATGTTTAGTTGACAAGTAGACTAGTTCGTCAAAACATTACCCATGCGGAATCTAGTTTTGAAGAGCATGTCGTGAAGATTCCAACGGTGAAAACAGATCGCAATTCCGATGTGCGGATTAAAAGTTATGCCATTTTAAATTTCTAAAACCACAAATAAATGCATAGGAGAACAAAGTGCATGCACCGAAAAATATGGCTGTGTTGCTATTTAACTAGAACATAAAGGCGCGCGTTGCCGCGCCTGCCTATCTTAAAGATTATATTCTTGAGTCATGAGAAATTGCTTTGGGAGTAAATGAGAAAGAATTTAGGGTACAAAATACACATTGTGGAATATTCAAAAATAATAATACACATTGTGGTGCATGCATCTTGAAGCTTGAAAGCTTGAAAGATAGTGCACATACAGTCATGAATTGAGGGCCAGAAGTGCATGGAATTACAAGTTATCTCTCTGTCACGCACATAGGTTTGCACATACAGTCATGAACTGAGGCCCTGAAATACAGTCATGAATTGATACTGCACATCTTCCTAACAAAAGCAGTGGGGAAAATCTGGAAGAAAGGGGTTGCCTGTGCCGATGATCCCATTATTAGCATGACATAAACGGAAGGAATACTCAACGGACGAACTGGAAGTAGTAAAAGGGACAATCCAAACGATAATAATGCCGTCTAAAAGGCACAACAGCCGGTAGATGAGGAGATCAATTTTTTTGCGGCAAGATGAAGAGATCAACTTTTGGGGCATAAGAACATACCTGAGCATGGATGCGGACGAGAGGAACCGAAGCGGAAGGTACGCGACAGCGCTCGCTGTTGGCGCTGAGCCTATTTGCGGAATCTGCGTATCGTGGGGGACAGGGGAGATCGGCTTAAGTTTTTCTCTTTCGAGGGCATGGAGTACGCACGCAACAGGTGGAAGAATCCCTTGCGGCCGTGCCTAGGCTACATGGGCTTTTGGTTGCTGATCGGCCCGTTGAACGAGGTGACCCCTGGCTCGGTTTGTGGAGCAGCGGCCCGACTGCGTGTGCTGAAGCGTCGCGCGACGCGGTGAAAATGACCTGCAACGCTCGGTGGGACGACGGATCGATCTGGTTCGCTACTGTGTTTGATCCGACGGCTGACGACGTCAAAACACTGCGGAGGCTCGTAGGTAGCTACATCTTACTGTTTATTAATATGTCGCGGAGAAATGGATTAGATGAGAAAGATTTTTTGATTAGGAAAGGGGACAAAAAAATTCTTTAAATAACCAGCCGCTCGCTAACCATACTAGGCGGCTGGGCGCCGGCTAGACGCACCCATATTTAAAACTTTAAAAATAAATCTCATCCACCACGAACTACTCCCAATGCCTAGATATATCAAGACTTTTCAAAAACTAATCAAATCCTAAACATAAAAGATTTTTAAATGGGCGAACAGTTTTTGAATCGGCAAACATTTTTTTAAATTCACCAACATTTTCTTTGTTTAGACGAACATTTTCTGAAATACATGAATAGCTTTTGAATTCATGAACATTTTTTGACGAAGCAAACATTTTTTGAATCGATAAATTTTTTAAAGTTGAGAAAAAATTGAAATTTGCAAAATTTTTGAATTTTTTGTAGTATTTTCTAAAATTTCATGGACATTTTTTAAGATTCGCTAATATGTTTTGAATGCACGATCATTTTTTCAAAATCATGAACATGATTTTATTTCCCAACATTTTTTTCAATTGTGATCTTTTTATAATTTTTGAACAGATTTGTAAAATCACCAACATTTTTTGAAACCACTAAAATTTTATGTTTTTCAAACAGTTTTTAAATTCACAAATATTTTATGATTTCTCGGACATTTTTTTCAAAACTCACAATTTTATGAAATTTTTAAATCTCAAATTAATTTAAAGAAGAAAGAAACAAAAACAGAAATGAGAAAAGAAAAGACAAAAAAGGAAATAAAAAAAGGTGCCATGCCCCACACGCTGGCCCATGAAGAGGAGATGCATGAGAAAAAATGAGTGAGAAAACTGTGGAACCTGGGGTTCAAAATCTGGTCTTCGGGGTTGGAGAGACGGGCTATAGCCACTATGCCGCCTATGTGTCTGTGATATATATTAGGTATCATCTCTATAAAACAACTGAGCACAACGGCGACTTTGGAAAGAAAAACGGAATCATTTTCTTCACTTATGGGTGGGATAGCGGGTAATTCATAGCAACTTCGAGGTCATTTTTTGGACGAATGGTCAGAAGCACTCTTCCCTTTATTATTAGGTGTAGATTACAAAGAAAGCGGTAGTGTCGGGCCGACGGGAGCGTGGCAAGAGGATCGATCGATGAGCGAACACACGCGTGTCCTTAGCAAACCTACTAATGTCCACTGTGTCACGTTTGTCGACGAAAAAAATATTATACGCACGTCCTGGAAAATCAAATGATGACGCCTGGAAAATCAGAATTCAAAGCGCATCTCCCTCTCTTCCTCTTCTGACATCTATCTATCCTTTCTCTTTCTCCTCTGCCGAGCAATACTAGCACAAGCATTAGCAACAGCCAAAGCACGTCAAACTGCTGGCACCATTCGCAACAACTTCTCCTTCCTTGCCGCCACTCTCCGCCCTGGCTTCTTGTCTCGTGTCTGGCTTCTCCCTAGCGCGCGTGGGAGTTGGGGTGCAAGAGAGGGCTTTGGTGGGCACGCGCCGAAGCCGTGAAAACGAGTCAGAAGTTTGCGTGGTCTTGTTATATTATCGAAGTTGTATGTCAAATTTTGTCCGATTCGGAGTCCGCTGGTTACCCGAACGTTTGAATATGAGACAATAATAGGCGATCTATATAATAAATGATTTGCTAAATAAAACTTGCAGTCGGGCCAACCACTTCCTTCTTTTCTGTAAGTCCAAGAGCCTCCTAAACCAGCCCAAAACTAGCCCAAACCCCTCCCTATCACCCCTACCTATTTAAGCAACACTCACCTTTCTAATCTAGCCTAAACCCTAAAATCCTTCTCAATTTCCGCTCCTCCCAACCCCAACTGTCACCTCACCACCCAGTTCCCTCCCTCTCAGATCTGAAAGAGAGAGATCCCAACCGAAACCCTACCCCCACCAGCCGAAAAAATATGATGGTGTCATTCCACCCCTCAAATGTAAGCTTATATATGAAAAATGTGCCAACATTTTTTCGAAAAACACCGCATGCATACCATCGGTCCTGGGGGCCTCTCGGCCCCTGATGCAAAATAGGGCTTTCTTAACCACCTCTGTTGTATATGGTTGTGTCAAAGAATTATGCATAGCTTCTGATACATGTAGTATGACTTTGTTCAGCACATCCGAATTTGGTTCAACTACTTCGATAGTGAACAGAACTGCAAATTAATCTGAGATGAAAGGATTTAAAAATGGCAAACCATCATGCCAAATGCCTTGATCATCCTTTAGGGACTCTTTGATACGTGGTATTCTAAAATCATGGGAATTGGAAAAAAAAATAGGATTGCAATGTCATGGTCATCTCAATCCTAAAAGATCTTTGATTGTTTGATTGCATTATAGGAAAAACAAAGAATTCTTTCAAAGAGGTTTGCTTGGATGCTAAACAACCTATAGAAAATAGTACAGAGAAATCCATAGAAAAAATTTCTATTCGATCAATAGTATGAATCAAACAACTAATTTGAAAAAAAAAAGATCCTAAGGATTCTAATCCGTGGAAATTCCAATGAAAATTCTTTGAATCAAAGGAGTCCTTAGTTTCTTTATCATATTTCTCTTCCTGCGTTCAACAAAGTTCTGAAAGAAATTGGTATTTTTGTCTCCAAAAAGTATTAATTCTGTAGTATTATTATAGTAATTTTGATTGTAGGTTTAACTAAGAGGGGATCAATAAACCACGGAGGGGAATAAAATGTTTCGATTCGTAATTTTGCCAGCCGCCAGGGTTGTTCTGACAAATCATCCGGTGGTTTCGTGAGGCGTGGCGCTGACCGTTGATACACAATTGAACGGCCTGGATTGGCCTAGCCCATTTCCACCGGAGCCGCTCCCCATAAAACCCTCCTCACCCCAAACCCTCTCCCATCGCCGCCTCCTCCCACCACTCCTCTCCCTCCTCGGCAGATCCAATCCACCAACCTCCTCTCCTCCATGGCGCTCTCCGTGGAGAAGACCGCGTCCGGCCGGGAGTACAAGGTCAAGGACCTCTCCCAGGCCGACTTCGGCCGCCTCGAGCTCGAGCTCGCCGAGGTCGAGATGCCGGGCCTCATGGCCTGCCGCGCCGAGTTCGGGCCCTCGCAGCCCTTCAAGGGCGCCCGGATCTCCGGCTCCCTCCACATGACCATCCAGACCGCCGTGCTCATCGAGACCCTCACCGCGCTCGGCGCCGAGGTCCGCTGGTGCTCCTGCAACATCTTCTCCACGCAGGACCACGCCGCCGCCGCCATCGCCCGCGACTCGGCCGCCGTCTTCGCCTGGAAGGGCGAGACCCTCGAGGAGTACTGGTGGTGCACCGAGCGCTGCCTCGACTGGGGCGCCGGCGGCGGCCCCGACCTCATCGTCGACGACGGCGGCGACGCCACCCTGCTCATCCACGAGGGCGTCAAGGCCGAGGAGGAGTTCGAGAGGTCCGGCAAGGTCCCCGACCCGGACTCCACCGACAACCCCGAGTTCAAGATCGTGCTCACCATCATCCGCGACGGGCTCAAGACCGACGCCCGCAAGTACCGCAAGATGAAGGAGAGGCTCGTCGGCGTCTCCGAGGAGACCACCACCGGCGTCAAGAGGCTCTACCAGATGCAGGAGTCCGGCACCCTCCTCTTCCCCGCCATCAACGTCAACGACTCCGTCACCAAGAGCAAGGTATACCTCCTTCCCTGGTTCCCATTTTCCATTTCAGATCTGATGCTCTGTGCCAGCGAGCTTCTACTTGTTTGAGCATCATGTTTATGTTGTAGATCTGATTGTTTTAGTATTTAGATCTTGTTGTTGTTGCGTAGTTTAGATGAGGCTTAATGGTGAAGCAGCGTTGGGGTATTAGACTGGATCTGTATCTTCGCCTGTGGGTTTAGCAGTGTCTGTTACGCTGATTGTCAACTAACTGACTACTCCACATGCCGGCGTCGGTCTGAATCTGATAATAACATTAGTCACATGTTTTCTGAGTCTGACGGCGATGGAGGGTCTAAGTATAAAATAATCTGCGTAACAAATTTTACTATGTGGCTGCACTCATATTAGTGTGAAGCACTGCTATGTCATGCACTGAATTATGTGATTTATTCTCTGTAGTTTGTTTAATGTACTCTTGTTTCGTTTTAATCAAAAGGTATAATGAAAGGACATGTTAACCTTGCTAACAATTTGTGTTTTAATAAAAAGTAAATTCTAATCTACGTTTCTTCTGTATATTTGTCTTTGCTTCCAGTGTTTGTTAGGCTGGTTGTTAAGTGTTAACTAACTACTAATAATAACATTAGTTGCATGTTTTCTGGATCTGACGGCCAGGGAGGGTCTGAATATAGAATATCATTTGAGCACGAGCACTACGACATACACTGAATTATGTGATGTATTCTATTTACTTGTTTGTTTAATCAATTTACTCTTGGTCTGCTTTAATCAGAAGGTAGAATGCAGTGACACGTTCACCTCGCTAACAATTACTAACCCATTTGTTGTAAAAAACACTAATCTCAGTTTACAACCTTTACGGTATGCCATGCTCGATTATGTGATTTATTCTGAGTAATTATTTGTTCAGTGTACTCTTGTTCTGTTTTAATCAGAATTTAGAATGCATGACATATTCACCTTGCTAACAAATACTAATCTGGAGTATGTTTCTCGTCGACAGTTTGACAACCTTTACGGTTGCCGCCACTCGCTCCCTGATGGTCTTATGAGGGCCACTGATGTTATGATCGCTGGCAAGGTTGCTGTGGTCTGCGGTTATGGTGATGTTGGCAAGGGCTGTGCCGCTGCACTCAAGCAGGCTGGTGCCCGTGTGATCGTGACAGAGATTGACCCCATCTGCGCCCTTCAGGCCCTGATGGAGGGCATCCAGATCCTCACTTTGGAGGACGTTGTCTCTGATGCTGACATCTTTGTGACCACCACTGGAAACAAGGACATCATCATGGTTGACCACATGAGGAAGATGAAGAACAACGCCATTGTCTGCAACATTGGTCACTTTGACAACGAGATCGACATGAACGGCCTCGAGACCTACCCTGGTGTCAAGCGCATCACCATCAAGCCTCAGACTGACCGCTGGGTCTTCCCTGAGACCAACACTGGCATCATTGTTCTTGCTGAGGGTCGTCTGATGAACCTTGGCTGTGCCACTGGCCACCCCAGCTTTGTCATGTCCTGCTCATTCACCAACCAGGTATGATCAATGTGTAGTCAACTGTTAACTAGTATTGAGTTCACAACTGATAGTACAACCATGAGTTAGCATCCAATTTTGTGCTTTGCTGCAGGTCATTGCTCAGCTGGAGTTGTGGAAGGAGAAGGCCACCGGCAAGTACGAGAAGAAGGTGTACGTGCTCCCCAAGCACCTCGACGAGAAGGTCGCCGCCCTCCACCTGGGCAAGCTGGGTGCCAGGCTTACCAAGCTCACCAAGGCCCAGTCTGAGTACATTAGCATCCCAGTCGATGGTCCCTACAAGCCGGCGGCATACCGGTACTAGTGTGTCTGTCCAGCACGACTAGCGGCTGGCCTGAGCCTGAGAGGCGCACGGCGACCTATGAACTATCCTGTTTTCCTTTGCATTATCTATCTAGATTTAGGCATGTTGTCTATTAGGTGGAGGATTTGTCATGGTTTGAGACTGGTGAGGGTGTGGTGGATTGCTATTGCCCAGAAATAATAGTGTTATTATTTTGGTTTAAATGAGGAGGTGTGTTTTGTCCTTCTGATTCTACATGTCTGATGCTCCGTCCATGGACGTGACAAATCTTTTGCCTCCGTTTCGGAAAAAGAATAGTCCGTGAGTGGTGTGATGTGAGTTACTGAGCTCCAAGGGCAGATAATATTTACATATAGCTGGGCGTTTGTTTATGTGCGCCAGTTTTCAGGCGCTCATTGTTACACAAAACAAAAAACGTCTCCTATGGCTAGAACTCAAAAGCCTTTGTGTAAAGGACAATAGAAATAGCGAGCTTTTCTATGTTGACGCTATTATTAGATCGTGTTTATGCGCCTACAGCGGGAGTGTCGGCGCTGAAGAATGGAATGGAACCGGCTGATCGCTAGGCTGCTCAAGGATTATCTTCGAGTCTGACTGTCTCGATATTCTGATATTAAGCCCATCCGGATGCTTCCAAATTGCTCCCAGGGTTTCATTTGCGCATTGTACAAGAGAGGCGACACACAGCTTAGCTAGGGTTTCATATCATCCAAATTACGTAATTTCTCTCGTTTCAAAAAAAAAAAATTACGTAATTTCTTGGGAAGACCTCCGAGTTTTCTCCTAGCTCTACTTGTTGAGATGCAACTGTTATTTGAGTTGAATGAATAAAGTGTGCCACAAGTTCAAAAGAATGGACACTTTAAACCTTTGGTTTAACAGAATGTAGCAAAGGAAAAATGGAGAAAATTTTCCTTTGGTCTCCGTTTTTTCACAAGAAAAACACAGGAATTTTACAGTCTGCTTGGACCTCCTTTCCAAATTTCTGTGCATGAATAATGAGACTGATCCTTAAATGGCATAATAACATAGTGCTACCTACACTACTCCCTCTGTCCCATAATGTAAGACGTTTTTTGCCACTATACTAGAATCAAAAAATGTCTTGCATTATGGGACGGAGGGAGTAGTATAATACGTTAGTTTAGGCTGGTCATGATGGGAAGTAACTTATACTAATGTCATGCATATGACACTAGTCTAACTTACTACCTTCATAGTGCAAAGTAACATAGTAGTAGTATCATAAATGGCTTCATTTATTAGCTTGTAAACTCATCCTTTCTCAGAAAGTGCTATGTTATATTAACATATTAGGCTATCCATAGTGGGAGTAACTTAGGTAGTAACTTAACACACCCCAAGACAATTTTGCTTATGTGGCAAGTATTTAATGAGGAGAGAGGTGTTTGGAGTAACATAATATATTACTGTAACTTAACGCTTCCCGAGATAAAATGAGTCTATAAGGCAGTAAGTGAAACAATCTATGACACTACTACTAAGATACTTTGCACTATGGAGGTAGTAACTTAAACTAGTGTCATATGCATGACACTAGTATGAGTATAAGTTACTCCCCACTATGACCAGCCTTATGTTACTCTAAACACCTCTCTTCTCATTAACTACATGCCACATAAGCAAAAGTTTCTTGAAATGCGTTATGTTACTGTCTAAGTTAGGGCCTGTTTGGTTTCAAATAAGTCACCAACTTATAAGTCGAAAAGTGAAAAAAGTGACTTATTTTGCCAAACAGACCCGACTTATAAGTCACCCCAACTTATAAGTCATAAGTTGCTCCACCCCAACTTAAAACTTATAAGTCACCCCCTTTTGCGTGGGTCCCACCACCTGCATGATGTTGATTGGTGTGGAAAGGTGTGTCAGGTGACTTATAAGTCAGGTGACAACCAAACAGGCGTGACTTATAAGTCACTAGTTTTAAGTCACCTGACTTATAAGTCGGGTGACTTATTGAAACCAAACATGCCCTTACTTCCACTATGACTAGCCTTACAAGAGGGATTACTAATTATACTCCCTCCGTTCACTTTTATAAATCATTTCAGACAACTTAAAATGGGCTGTTTTGTACATTATCTGAAATGTCTTCAAGGTCTTATAAAAGTGAATAAAAGTGAACGGAGGGAGTACCTTTTATTGTTTGACTTTGTTTATCAGGATTCCTGTGTTTTTCAAATTCCTATGAACCAAACACCCAACTTTGCAAAATTTCTGCGTTTTTCTAACCCTCTATTTTACACATGCATTCCTATCAATTTTCTAGTATGTTCTTTTCTAGAATCTTGTGAACCAAAGGAGGCATAAGGGAATGCATAAAGTAGTCCACATGTCACTCATTGGCGATAATCTTCGTGATACATTCGGCATTCGCATTGCCCCAGCAATCCTCTGAAAGCCTTTTATTACACGCTCATCAACCTCGAGCACCGTACAAGGGAAATAGCATATGCACGGTCGCCGACGAGCTTCCCATCACCTAAGATCATCCCAAGGCATGTGCGTGCACACCAGATACATTACACTAGTAGCCAGCGCAAGGATGGATTATATGGCGAAGTCGAACCTCTGAGAGCTCGAGGAGGCGTCTGAAAGGTTTCCTGACATCCACCTCTTGAGCATCTCCAAGGCGGCCTTCGGTTGATCCATGGGTACCATGTGACCAGAATCGTGGACCTGATCATAGTGCCAAAAACATCTCTAGTTAGTTTCACAGTAAAATCCAAACTGATGTAGCGCGGCACAATACGCAACAGGCATTTGCCCTTATAACACTCTGCTCTACTGTATTGACAGATAATCTCTTGAGTAAAGGCCTGGTTATTGTTTGTTCCAGAACTGACTGTTGGTAAGGGGGTCAGCTTTGCGTTTGCGTACCTTCAAAAAACTCAAAGGGCCGTGGCTTTTTAGAATGCCGGCTTCTTTTCCATCAACCGTGAAGGGTTTCTCCACCGAGGACACGAAGGCTTTCTTTCCAGACCATTCCATAGAGTCTACCCATCTTGAGTTTCCTGCCCAAGTCACCAGTAGATTATATATGTATGTCATCAGGAAAACAAAGCCAGAATCAAGAAAACCAATAGCGGAGCATATTTATTTTGAACCGTATATTGTCCTACTTATTTCATGCACTTGTTATACAGTTTGCCGTTATGTACAACACAGCATGAAAAGCATTGAAGGTAGATTTTATCCTTTTCTGTGATTTGACAAGTATAGATGACCTCTACTAGGTCAATTATGCCTTGCGTTATTCAAATGTGTGACAACATATATTTCTAAACCGTGCTTCCAATACGATTTCCATACTACAGAACCGATCAAGATTCAAGCTATATGAATGCATATTAAAGCCCATTAAATTCTTAATGGATCTCTTGCACGAATCACAATTGTAAGGAAGCATAGCACAAGTATCACATGACAAAAGTGTGGCAATGTGATTCTCAGAGTGAAGAATCTCAGATGATATGTGGTATGGACAAAACAGAAGCAAATTATAGCATACAATTTTCAAGAGTTTTCTGTTGCAAGTTGTAAGACACTCACCTAGCCAGTTGCATATGAGATCATACTCTCCAGCATAAATCAGCACTTTGATGTCGTTCTCAAGGAGTTCAGGTATCCCAACTTCAAGGTTCCTCATCCAATCTAAGAGCATAGCCTGATAGACGGTCGGGCTGCAGGAAACAAACTCTATGTCTCCAACGCCTAGGCTCTGTCTGACAGATTTCAGATTGAGAAACTTCTCCAAGTTAGAAAAATCATAGCATAGGCTCCCCACGCATGGCTTCCTGACGTCATAATACTGCAAAGATGAGGTGATCAATCAGAAAACTTCAAAAAATGAGGAAAAACCAAATAAACTTTTGTATTCCACCCTACATTTTTGTTCCCGAGTATCAACCTGATGGAACTGAATATTGTATTGCAAACAAAATAGGCAGCAAAGCAAGATACAGTGCCAGAGGTACCTGAAACAAAAGACAAAATCAAGTGAGGTATATCAGAGTTGGGCTTATGCCTTTTCTTACTTCCATGAACAAATTGGTACAACAAAGCAATGATGTTAATGAAGACAGTCTCCAAGAGACCAATTGACGAATGGTACAGATTTATTACACACAAGCAAACGATGAGTCCAGGAATAATTACCGCACAGCTTGACAGCAAATTCACAAGCAGGAACTATTTTATTAATCTTGGTAAATTCTGACTGTGTGATTAAACCCATATCCAATGCATAATCGGTGTATGCCTTGTACTGTATCGCTGGATCTGTAAGTCCGTTACCAATTGCAAAACCCTGAAAAATTAACAGCAAGGGTGGATTCAAGCGACAAAAACCTTTATAACACAGAACAATATGGATAGATCCAGAAAGAGATGACTAAACCTTCAGATTGATGTGAATGCCCTCATTGTTCTTGTTCCCCTTGTACACCCGAGTTGCAAAGGCAGGAATGTAGTGCCCAGCATATGACTCCCCAGTTATATAGAAATCGTTTTCAACATACTCCGGGTGCTCCTTGAAGAAGGCCTATCAAAATCGCATGCAGAGAGATGCAAGGAACTTATGAGGAAAAACACAGAAGGCCATTTTTGCATCTTGATTGCAACTCACAAATAAGGGCAATCACTCTGGTTCACCTCAACTCTTGCATAACTAACCTTGTCGCCACAATAGGAAGCACCCACAATAGCGGTAGTGATTTAATAATACATATGATGCATGTGTTCCTACTATGTACATATGCTCACCGACCAGGAATGCATACCGTAATATTTCGAGTCCGTAAGAATGAACTAGGGCTTATCTTCATTTCATTTATGCATCCTATCACAATAGAGACAAGAATTAATTACCTGCAGGAAGTCATATAGGTCGTTGCTGACGGTCGCTTCGTTATGGCGGGTATCCCGCGAATCAGAGCTGTAGCTGAACCCAGTCCCAGTTGGCTGATCAACATAGATAA